TATACCTAATTTGGACTCAATCACATGAATCATATTTATTTTAGAATGGTATTAGTGAGAAATTTCTTAGGCGGAGGGGCCATTTTGGCACATTTATCCAAAAATGTCACCAAACTGTGCCAAATATGTTTTTTACATCAATACTGGGGGTTTGTTAAAATTACGAGGTCACGTAGCAGCTGGACCCACCGGTGGGTCCGTAGGGTTCTAGGGGTTAAGTAGTGATCACAATGCCATGCAAAAGTTATTTGCGGTAAATCATAAATATTTACTTTATTGTCCTAACCTTGGGGCAAATCGTTCCAATTTTAGAAAGGTTGACTGTTGTGGCCCAGCTTTGATGACACAAAAAAGTGGAAATCCACAAAGATCAAAGATGCACCATGGACTTCTTTTACACAGGCAAAAGAAAAAATGTTCCTGGTAAACTCCTTTAGTTTTCTCAGTTTATTGTTTCCTCAGGCAAGCAAACAAAAAAAGACAAACATTTCCTCCATGTTTCTCTTGCGCTGGTAAAAAAAAAAAAAAAACATACACCCACCCAGATGCATGCTGGTCCTACCATTGACTGCCTATTTATAAAAAAAATTATTCACCTAAATTAATCATAACTAACCAAAAACAAAGGAGCATGACTAAATGACCAAAAAACATAATCTCATAACAGATATCAAACACCAAAGTAAAATAAACTTAGCTAGATTATACACAAAAACAAAAAACATTTTTAATTATTAACAAAAAATAATTGGCTCCTACATTTACCATTTTTCATAACAGATATGTCTTTGAAAAAAATTGGATTATTTAGATAAGACTAAGTCATTACTAATTAGCTAAATCAAAATTTTAAAAACATAAGCAGGGGATTCATGTGAAACAATAACTAACAGTGGAGAAACCGTGTTTATGCTGATGCAATTAAATACTGTTGAATTTCTTGTGTTAAGCCAATCTTTCACGTGAGAAAAAGTTAGAAGACTGTTTTTAGGCAAGACAGCTCAGCTGTCAAAAAATGTGATTTAAAGTTTGTATTCTTCACGTTGAAATTAATCACTGAATAGCTTTATTGAAATATACCAATATATAATAACTTTAAATCCAAAGGAAGATTAATTTATCAGTGATTGTTTGTTCTGGTTCTGTGATGAGGTAAGGCTAATTTTTCTTCTATGTCACGTACTTTAGAGCTCAAATTATGGAAAACATGTGGCTTTTTTCAATTTATTGAAGCTCAACAACCATACAGCAGTGTCCTTCTTTGTTAGAGCAATCACTATCAGCACGTTTATGGGAAATCATTTAAACAGATGGTCCAAGATCTGTCAGCATACATACCTGCTGCTCTGTCTTTTGACGCAAACACACATCAATACACACAAATGGAGCCACATTTTACAGCATTGACTCATGAAACGTGATGTTGTTTGTCTTCTAAGCCATGTCAATCACTGTGAAATGATTAAATACGAGGCTGCAGCAGAGCTGCTTCAGATATGTTGCTTTATTGGCTTTTTGTTTTGTTTTATTGTTGGTTTTTTTAAGTTTTTCAAAACAAACAGGGAGCCATTAAGGAACACAACTTCATATTTCTTTACCAGGAGAAGTAACAATATTTGTAAGTTTATTTTAGAAGCCAAATCAATCTAACAATAACTTATTAGATTTAAGTTAGTAGTTAGTAGTTTTCCATGATTTTCAGAATACAGCCAAAAAAATTGAAACGTACTAAAAGGCAACAACACTATATCTACAGCTGCTTCTGTTGTCATCAAGACTTTTCAGAGGCTCTTATGATTGAGTTCCATGTTTAGGTGGAAACATTAGCATGACTGCATGTGTTTAGAGACGTCAACAGACTAATCAGTCAGTAATTCAGAGGAGCTCAGTGTTGCAGAGATAACATCTGTGGTACAATGCTGTCATGCAGCTGAGCTCAAAAGGTCACCATGTGCACATTCAGGATTTCTGCTTGGTTTAGTTCTATTTGGGCAATTTGTTAGACATTAAAACAGGGTCTGCACCACAAGACATTTGTGATGATGTCTGCCCAATCTTCTCCTTCTGAGAGCCTCAGATACCAAGGCCTCTCAGGCTCCAAAATAAGAGAGATGATCCTGCCATATATGGCTTCTTAAGGTTGATTAGGTTTGCTCATTAGAATATTATGGATCCTGGAGTTTAAAAGCTAGCTTTAAAAATGTTGCAAACAGATGTCCCACCAAACAGCAGCATGGGGTTAAGGGTTTTGCTCGGGGACGCAGAGTGGAGGTCTGCAGTTGAATTCAGATCCTCAAGCAATCAAGTGCAATGCTCCAGCCACTAGACAACTACTCCCCGTGATAGTAGGAAAAAAGTGTAGATGCTGGCTTGATACAAACACCTCAAAAGATAAGGGCATTTAAGCCAATCCCAGAAGCACCTTTGCAGTTAACATAGGGACTTCCTCACATTCTTGGCCACCACTAGAAGCTCATAGGACTCATAGGCAAAGCTCACCTCAGTGAGTTTAACAAAAATCCATTCTTTCTTCACTTGTATTCTGCATGACAAATACTAATGTCCTCACCTTCACAGTTTTTAAGCAGAATGCTTTAGCCATTCACTATATTTTTGTGTAACCTTGTTTTTTTTTATAAAACCAGTGCCATCTTTAATAAGCATTAAATATTGTTTTAAAAGGACAAAAGTGACACCTACAAAAAAATCAATTAAGTACCCTTATTTTATTTTTAACATGCAACAAGCTTTGGTGGTTTCATGTTTAAGATGACAAAAGATTTATTAAAAAGATTAAATGTTTATCAACATATAATTTCTCTCATTTGCCACCAGATGTCAGTAAAAG